AAGTAAACATATATATATATATATATATATAATGATCACTTTTTTTCTAGTTTAAATAAACTGGCCAAGATACGTTTTGTTCTCGCATAATGGAAAGTCAGACTTCTATTAGATTTTATGTGCAAATGTTGTTGGTTGTCTCGAATTTCTTATGATGTCTAAACAGAAAAAAGATCCAAATTATATACGTTTTCTATACTCACTCCAATGACAGAAAACATTCAGTGATTCAAGCGTAAGAAAATTATACATAGATAGGTTTTAATTAATATACTATTTGAAATAATTAAATAATTGACCACAGGGTGTGAAGATTTATAAGTTTATAATTGCATGACAATTGAATGGAAATAGTAAAATACAACAAAATTTGAGTAAATGGTGAAATTTGTCTCCGAAATTGTTATTTGTTCTTAATTTAGTTTCTCATTTTATTAAAAAAAGTTTAAATATAGTTTTAATCTTTTAAATTTAAGTTAATTAAATTTGTTTTTAGTTCCTCAAATTTAAAATTGATCTTTTTAACTTTATAATTTTAACAAAATTTGTTTTATTTTTTATACTCAAATTTTGTTAGAGATTTTTTTAAATATTATTGCATAAAATTTACCTATTGATGTCCTTATCAGTGAAAATATCATATTAAATCTAATTGATATTTCATAATTGTCTCAATCAATCACTTTCAAATATATTATTGGTGACCTTAAGGACTAAAACAATATCTTCAAAAATTATAGGAACTAAAAATAATAGTTTAAAATTTGAGACACTAAAAATAAATTTATCTTAAATTTAAGGGAATAAAAATATATTTAAGCCTATTAAAAATTTAAAAAAAATCATTTCCCAAATTGACGATCGTAACTTACATTTGTCCCTCCATAATATATACTCTATTAAATATATCATAGTTGCATACATGACCATTTATATGATAATGTGATAAATTTAATATTTTTTTCATGCCTTATCATAGAAGGGACGTTTTGGAATATATAAAAAATTCTTTTTATAAAAGTGAATATTTTTACTTGATGAGGTTAAAAAGTGTGTTAGTGTCTTTTGTTCCCATTCTTTCTTTCCCGTGTAGTGAAAAAAGGAAGACAAGAGGGTTGCATACCAAAGAGTGTTCATGAAGTCATCTCCGTTGCATTTTGAACATTCACGAAGGATGAAAACAATGTTAGGTATCCATTACTATCACTTCTATCTTTTCAGATGTGGATTCGACTAATATATCTTAGGAATTTTATAACATTGGTTTTAACTTTCTTGAAAAGATGAGATTTTTATTTCTAAACAAATTATTGATTGTACCTTACTATTGGGACAACTTATGTAAGAAATAACGATCGGTAACTAAATGAAGAATATATTTTAGAGAAAAAATAATGAGCGATAATAGATAATTTAAAAGTCAACAAAATTTTAAAATAAGTCTGAATACGCCTACTCTTAAATTTTATATTGAATGGAACGACGTAAAAATTTTAATATGTAAATATCGTATTTATTTAGATAGGCTAGAATGATCCCATATATACAGTAATGAGAGAATATATATAACAAAATTTTGGTTGGATTTGAAATGAAATAAACTTATATGATTGAATCAATTGGATTATTGAATTTTAGATTATGAGTTCCTAATCATAGCACATTCCCATTTTGGGTAAAGCAAATCTATTGATTTTCATACAATAATTATGAACTTACTTTTTTTTTTTCATTAATAAGATGTATCTCTCTTATGCTCTTGACTGAAATAGAACTATTTTCTATAAAAGCTACATGTTGTTATAGATGAATGAAGTGTATCCGTCACTTAAAAAAAAAATCAAATATCAAGTTATCAGATATTTGAGTTCTATCCCGAGTGACTATTTTGTTGTGGAAGTTAATGGATGATTTTGGTTGTGCTAATACCGTAAACAATGGTGAATCCAGATGTGAGTGAGTGGGAACAATTTAAAAAAAAATAATAATTATCATCATCATACATATGAAAAGTTAAATATATATGTTAAAATCATTAAAATGTAATATATCTAATCAAATAAATTACGCCTCTTATTATTGTTTTATGTGATCTTAAAAAATTATACATTCTAATTGGTAATTAACTGAAAAATCATATAAGACAACAATTTAATTGGTTAAATATATATATATATATATATATATATATAAAAGATAAACTTATTATTATCAACTAAATTAACAATTTTTTGTTATTTTAGTGAATTAAGCAATTAAGTCTTATATATAAAACAAAAAATACACAACAACTTATATAACATTAATTTTGTTCTTATCTCTTTCTATCATTAATAATATCTCTCTTCATAATAAATAAAATGATAAAAGAAAAACATAAAAATGATGTTGTACAAATTACAATTTTTGTTGTACTTATACTTTATTCTAATTAATATTGTCATGAGTTTTGTAAATAATAAATAAATAAATAATTTTACTAAAAAACAGACATTTAAATTTAAAAAGTAACTAAAGGAGTGTACGCTAAGGAATAATTACTCATGGATGTGCTATAAGTACATTGGTATGCATTTATTTCAAGGTAAGTCACTCTAGTTCTACACAAATCTAGAAATGGTTCTTCAACTATCTATCGAGCAGAATTAACATTTTGGTCAACCGAAAGTTCTTGAAGTTGGACTCCACTGCCTCCTACCCTTTTTGTTGCCTTATTTGCCTGAACAATGAACACACTTCTGTTAATATCCATACCTGATAAATGATAACAAAACTGAGTTCAAGATTGAACAATTTACTTCTTCCTCCCAATTGGCACGTAGGGTGATCACAAGAAAACACAACATTTGAATGATAATTGCCAGTACTATCCCTAAAAATAGCCCCTGAAATTATGAAGAATCAAGATAATCACCAACTTCAGTTGAACATGCATGTTATCTATGATGCAGGATGTTATTATTCTTGGCTAAAAATCAAACTCTGAAGGATTTTAATGTGAACAACACTTAGACAGGTATTTTAAGTGTTGTTTACTATGTTGTTCTATTAGAATTAAAGTTTTCATAATTTGCATAAACTGAATAATTAGCAATGAAAAACTCTAATCCTGATAGGAGAAGTCTCGTTAATATTCACCCTAAGATGTTTTCTGAATGATAAAATGGTTATATTACCCGTCCTTTCATATGGAGGACAAAAGCTGTCACAACAGAAAAAGGAGCGCCTATAAAATAAAAAGATCCTAGATTGACAATTGCACCAAGTTTCTGCCAACCGCATCCTCTGGCAATACCTGTTCACAATCAAGGAATTAGCAAAGTTCATATAAACAGATAAACAATTAGGTTCCTCAAAAAATGAATTGAAGGCATTACATTCCATATGCATTCTATGGTGTTTTATTTTGGTTGTGACAAGGTATCACTGGTATAATAAAGTTAGAGACTACTTCAACTAGTGGTACTTGACTGGTTGATGTGAAAAGTTTTCGTATATGTTGGGGTTTGAATATGGAATTTTTTTATTAAATAAATCATTCACATAACAGTGTATAATGTTTAATTACTATGCAAACCCATTATTTTATAGTGTTTAGTTCAACAAATAAATTCTTTATATTACGTTTCAATTCGATGTAAACCATAAAAATCAAATAAAAAATATGAATAAAAATAAATATCAGAAAAAATCTTATCAAAATTTCTCTAGATCGGATTGAATTAGCAAAATGATAGTAAAACAAGAAAATGATGGAATTGGATGAGAATACTATGTTTTCCTTCAAATCCATTTAATCCAATTCCTGAATACTCAATCAACAGGGAAAGGGGAAAAAATGGATAATTATGGACCTCATTGAATAATTTTTTTCAATACCTTGAAATGCTGTTTGAATTGAATCTATGAAGGCAAAGCTTGCAAGAATTGGCACCATGGAAGTCACATATAGGACCACTTCATGTACATTGGTAAAAGCATGCCCCCAAACTTACCATGCTGACATAAGGACTGCAAATTCTAAAATCCCCACTGTGAAGGCCAAGAACATGCTGACTTTAACTGCTAAATATGCAGTTTTTGGTTTACCAGCCCCTAATTCATTTGAGATTCTTGTACTGTTTAATTAGAAACATGCAATGAAACTTGTTATATATGGACAATGATAAACATAAAAAGACATGTCACTGCAACATTACATATGGTAATAGCATGCACATTTTTATTTTAGTATGTTCAGCATGAAAGACTAACCTTCCAGCATCACTAACTCCAAATGGTACCATCCAAAGTATACCAGATGTGTTGAGGCTGGGATGAAAGAGGAAAAAATTACAATTGGTCATTAACAACGACAAGGGAAGAAAATGGGGTTTTCAAACGAGAAAGATAAATATAATAGCATATATGTAATATCCATAACATATAGTAGCATAGCCCCTAAGATATTAACTGAAAAACTAACCATATAGAAAGAACTGAAGTTTCCAATTTTGCATTAGGAAAAGCACCAGACAGAAGAACCATTATTTCAAACGTCCATGATTCTAAGCTGCAACATAGTGATATAATAGGAGCAGCAATTAGAACTTCTCAGCATCACTCATTCACATTACCAGTCACAAGGAAAAGAGATAAATTTTTGCAAGTAATCTCTAATAGTGCATTTTAACTTCCAAAAATATGTCCTACATTACATTAGTCCTTTATTTATCAGTCTCATCAAATTGATCTCAAGATAATTGAATTCATTGGTTTTTATGCTTCAATAACCAAATTGATGACAAAAACATGGGATTAAAGGACTATATGTTGATTCTAAAAATGCAAGTTGTTATATACTATGGAAGTGAAATTTGGTTTAGAAATGAATATCATACCACACCATGAGTGTTGAAGGAAAAGCAAGTCTAAGAAATTGTGGGATGTTATGCAGTGACTCCGTAGAGAAACCGGTCCAAGTGTTTTTGCATGAAGGAGAGAGCCAAATATAAAGTGCAAGTATTATAGTATTAAACCAGTTTAAAATGCAAATTGCAATGGCAGCGCCTTTCAAACCAAGCCAAGTTTCAGATTAAAAGCCCAACAGAAAAGGATGTGTAGTAAGGTAGTGAGTCCAGAGGCTACCACCATAGGAAAGACTATGTTTTGGGTTTGTAGGAACTTGGTGATGCAGCGAAGAAGCCCATAGGCTGAAAGGAGCTTGGGATCAAGTATCTTGCATAAAGTTGGGCTTGAGCTGCAATTGTTTTGTCTCGGTGAAGAACAACTAGAATGGGTCCTAAAAAGACCCAAATAACGGAGATGGGTAGGAGCCATTTTAGTTTTTCACCAAGACAAAACAATTGCAGCTCAAGCCCAACTTTATGCAAGATACATGATTCCAAGCCTTTCAGCCTATGGGCTTCTTCGCTACATCACCAAGTTCCTACAAACCCAAAACATAGTCTTTCCTATGGTGGTAGCAACTAGACTCACTAGCTTACTACACATCCTTCTCTGTTGGGCTTTTGATATGAAACTTGGTCTTGGTCTCAAAGGCGCTGTCATTGCAATTTGCATTTCAAACTAGTTTAATACTATAATACTTGCACTTTATATTTGGCTATCACCTTCATGCAAAAGAACATGGACCGGTTTCTCTATGGAGTCACAGCATAACATCCCACAGTTTCTCTGTGGAGGGAGGGTTGTTGACGCCGGCGCCTGTCCCCTCCGCACGCGACCCCTCCTCACGGCCGACCCCTCCGCGCGCGACCAGACCACTCCGTCCCGTGCGCGCGGCTCCTTTCAACCAGACCCGCCGGCCGGCGAGCGAACCCCTCCGCCCCGCGCGCGCAAAGCCCTCCGCCCGCGAACCCCCTCCGCCCGCGCGCGAACCCCTCCGGCCGCGAAACCCCTCCGCTCGCAACCCCTCCGCCCGCGAACCCCGTCCGCCGGCGACCCCTCAGCCTCCGCAACCCCTCCGCGCGCGAGTGAAGAGAATGAGTGGAGAGTGAGTGGAGCGTGAGTGAAGAGTGAGTGATGAGTGAGTGGAGGTGAGTGAAGAGTGAGTGATGATTGAGTGTTGCCTTGCTCTCTCAGTTTCTTGTTTTTTAACTTTTGGGACCTCGGCACTTTTTCCTTGCTGTTTTCAAGTGTTGCCTAATTACCAATACAGAAATGGACCCAATAAATTAGTCCAAGTAAGTTGGAGTTTGAGTTTAATTGGAAATTGGTGCCGTAATTTGTCCAACATAGAACACTTGGAAGACGTACAATTGGGCAAGAGTCACAATCACATACAGGAGGCAAACAAATTATTGAGATATATATAGGTCGAGTCACAATCACATACAGGGGCAAACAAATTATTGAGAAGAAAACAGGACAGTTATAACATGCAATTTGCAAGAAACTTTTTTTTCTTGGCACGTGTATCTCTGCCCTGGTAGTATATAGCTGCCAAATCTCCACCGCTTCAGCGCCAGCTCTTGCAGCTATAGCGCTATCTTGCTGCCAAAGCCCCTTGAAGCTTTATATTCTTAGCGCTCAAGCGCCAGTTCCAGCGCCAAGGAGCCAACACTCTGGAATTCCATACAATCCCATCGCTGCAGTGCCATATTCATAGCTATAGCGCTCATTCTCTGGAGCCATTCACTTATTATTAGCTCTCAACCAAATAGCTTAAGCTTGGTCTGTAGCTAGGATCAGTGTGTGAGGACCCTTGTGAGCTCATTATACCAGCCTCTTGAACAAAATAAAAAAAGTGAAAAAATAAATTATATGGTAAATATTGGGATGCAAACCAAGTGGCGAATCATTAAAATGAGAAATAAATTTAAATTGCATATATATTATTAATTTTTTTAAGGTTGTCTAACATCGAGTTTATTTTATTAAATTATATTAAATTAGGTCTTTGAATACTTAATATTTTTATTTTTATATTTTCATCGACCATATCTATTGTTGAGACGTTTTTTTTTTTACTTTTACAAAATTGAAGACTTTTATCACCAAAACAAATAACATTTTAAAAGAAATTAATAATAGAAACTAAAAAAAAATGAAGGTATAAAAACTAAAAATATTTATCTTAAACTCTAGAAACTAAAAAAGATTAAAAATAATAAGTATAGCAACTAAAAATATTTATCTTAAATTATAAAAATTAAAAGATAAAGTAAGTAAAAGTATAAAAATTAAAAAGTACTTTAATATAAAAATATATAGCTCAAACAAATTATAAAAAAAAAACCTATCAGTAAAAATATTTATATCTATAAGTACTTGCAAAAATAATCTCTCTTGGGAGAAAAAGAAGGATTTCGACTGTACAAAGTCTATAAATAAAATTGTTATGTTATTTACAACATTGTTTTTACTTTATAGAAATTTCAAATGAATAAATAAACTTATTTTATTTGATTTTGATATAATATAATATTGAATTATTTTATACGATGTTAATTCATCATTATAATTTTTAACTTCATAAATTATTGTGTTTTTCATAATATAACTAGTCACCATTATGACTTATCTGAGTTTGGTTCTATTATCAATAACTATAAAACCTTTTTAACGATATTACGAAAATCTAATAGTATGTTTGGATGAAGAATTTAAATGGAGTAATTTATTTATTTCAAGAATTTCAAATTCTTTGAAGTAAAGTACTTTGTTTGGATGAATAATTTATGAGATATTTAAAATTTAAGTATTTGTGAAATTCCTTGAAATAGTAGAATTTTAAATTCTCCCAAAAGAGTAAGAATTTGAAATTCCTCATTTTTTTTCTTCTTATTTTACTTATATATTTTATCTTATCTCTTATCTCTTCATGTTTTTAATTATTGAATATTCAAAAATATATTTAAAATTATTAAATATTATCTAATATTAATTTTTAAAATTATTAAATATTTAAAAATTAGCTAATACTTATTTTTATAAAATTTAATTTAAAATTTTCAACATATAAATATATTTTTAAAATCAATTTTATCATGGTGGAATCAAATTATCATATCCCACCTAACAATTTAAAATTTGAGAAATTTGAATTGAGTTATCCAAACAAAATATTTTAAGAATGATAAAAATTGAAATCAAATTAATTCAAATACAAAGAATTTAGCATTTCTTGAATTTGAAAAATTCCTTATCTAAACGCACCATTAGGTTAATTTTGTTGGTAGACAAGCAAATTTGGTAGTTCACAAGCTTGCAAAGGCGACCAAATTTCAAGCTGATCTTGTAGACTAATATATTTCTTCAACATACAACTTTCCTTTTATCTTGGTAAGCAAAAGAAGACAAATGCACAATTTCAAGGTAGTTTCCTTCTTATTTCTATTTTTCAAGCTTTGAACATAGGACACATACATACATGAAAAGAGAAAATGCATAAAAAAAAATAAAAAGAAATGTAAAACTGATCAGGAAGCTATCCACTTAAAACATTAACCTCTCTTCCTTTAACCCCAAGTTAAAACTTATTTAACTACTGTTACAAAACCCTTCTATCACTTAATAAAATAAATACATCATTTAATTATAAGTCTTTATGATGTATATTCATATACATATAAAATAATCAAAACAATTATTAAAACCATCTCAATTAATCATAACAAAATATAATAATTAATAATTAATAATATATATATATATATATTAAAATATCATAAAATACATATTTTTCAAAAACACATTTAATTACATAATTAATTAAAACATATTTTCTATAAAAAATATCATTAAAAAATACATATTTCTCTAATAAATATTATCCAAAATAATTTTTATAAATATTTATTATTTAATTAAAATACTCATAATTATTAAAAACTTCTAAAATATTTTATAAAACTCTTTAATAAATCAAAATATCCATTTATTACAATAATACTCTTAAAAATTGTGCCATCAAAATTTTATATGGATTGACCGAATAAAATTAAAAAAAAAAACACCTCAATGATGTAGATCTTTTACGGTTTTAAAAGATCCATGTGCTGAGTTAAATTCCAATAATTTGGTGACTTGGCAGTGCATTTGCATCAGCCTTGCCCTGGACTCTATTGCAGTATGAAGATAATGCAAAATAAGTAAAAGGAAGACCCACAAGATAAAAGATCCAAGATTCATAAATGCACCAATTAAGCTTCTGCCAACCACATCCTCTTACAATACCTTTTTTCACACTCAAAAGTATTAGCATAGGTTAAGTTCATATAGTATATAATAAACAAAAGGTCTCTCTAGATCAAGGATCATGTAATATTTACTCCTTTGATAGTTAACTAGACATGTACTCGCGTTATGCGATTTATTGAAACTTCATATTTTTTTTATATAATATTTTAATATATGTAAATTAAAATTTTGTAATATAATAATTATTATTTTGGAATATTAAGATATAAAATAAATATATGACAATTATTATATATTATTTTTTATTGATTATATTAAATAGATTCATGTGATTTAATAAAAAATGACAACAAATTGTAGAATATTCTTTTTTATAAAATTCAGAGGGAAATTGAAAATGTTTGGAGATGGAAATGAAGGAATGTCTACAATATTTAGATTGAATTAGATACTATTTGAAGAGTTTTATAGGTTCATTGATCAAGGCTTTTAAAGTTTCTAAAAATTGAGGATATAGATAAAAAAATTGAATTTCAATTATTTGTAAAAAAATATCAATTATTAAAACCCACAATAAATAAAAAAATATTGTATATGAATTATCTACATATTCAACTAAATTATATATATTCGCGGGATTAATTTGGAAAAGTAGTAGGGACATATAAGAATTAATAAACTATTTTTGTTGGAAACATTCCTCTAATTAATTCTCTGGAAACTTTTATAGTAAATGGAATATACAGAATTGTAATCAATCAAATATTGCAAAGCCCTCACCAAAATGGAATATTGATTGTTGTGGACTAACCATTTTAAGTCGTTAGGTTTCCTTTTTTGGGCTAGTATAATTGCATATAATCATAATTAAGAGACATAATTTGATTAAAATATCAATTATAAAAAATAATAAATAATATTCAATTATTATTTACTAAAATTAATAACATAGTAGGTGAGAATACCAATGATATATGTCTGTCTTTATTAACGTGTGAGTATATTTATTTATTAAACCTTACTAACATTATTTCATAATTTCATAGAAAAATTAATTTAGATATGTATGCTTAGCAGACCTTTCAGATAAGGCAAAAAATGAAGAATGACAATATTTTTATAATTATATTACATACAAAGAAGTTTTGGCACATCCTTCTAAGTTAGATTCTTTTTTTTTGAGAAAGTAAAGAAAGCAATGTGCCTAGTTGTATTGAGGTTGGGATTGACTTGTGTCTAAAAACAGAGCTCATTGAATGGAGACATTAAGATTTGTAGTTATTATGACTTTTATATTATAAATTAGGATTTGTAGTTATTATATAATTATATCATCAAAATAAGAAGGGTAATTCAGAATGACACGTAAACAATTTTTTTGGCATAACATTTTAGAAATATTTTAAGCTGACATGTTAATGTAATACAAAGTAGCTTGAATTTTATATTATAAATAAATAGAGAGAAGTTCTAGCACATCCTTCTAAGTTAGATTCTTTTTCTAAGAAAGTAAAGAAAGTAATATGCTTGGTTGGATCGAGGTTAGGGCTGACTTGTGTTTGAAAACAGAGCTCATTGAAGGGAGACATTAGGATTTGTAGTTATTATATAGTTATATCATCAAAATAAGAGAGGTAATTCATAATGATACATAAACAATTTTATTGACATACAATATTTTAGAGATATTTTAAACTATATAAC